TTGCTCTACTCACGCCGCCATCTTGGCTCACAGTCATTATTATTATTACACAGTATATTAACAATGAGTAAGCATTAATAATTATTCATATGGCATTTAGAATGAAAAAACTGTGTTCCCATTTATAATAAGCTCTTTAGAATAATTTAATCATAGAAACTATTATCCCTAGAAAATCAAGGTACACAAAGATTAAATGACTTTACCAAGGTCAGTTAGGAAGTAGAAGAACTGGGTCTGGAACCCAAGAGCTCTGATTCCAAACTTTCCTCTTTTCTCTATCCCACTTTCAGAGACAGATTCCAAAGAATGCATATTAATGAGGCATAGTCTCAGAGGTCTGACCTCTCTGTACATATTCTTCCCTATTCTTACTGTTTCACCACCTGGGAAACAGGAAAAATAGAGACAGTGGTTCTATCCTTCCCAAAAGGTTAGGATACAGGCAATAATCTAATTGGGATCTGAATACCCAAGGAACTAGTACTAACATGGGGTGACCAGTAAGTATCTAAAGTCCCAGGTTCGTAAATCCATAAATCTAAAAGTTAATTTTTTTCCTCATTAAAGTAGGCAGAAATGTATAATTAAGACAGTGAGACATGAAATTTGTAATGCTAAGAAAAACTATTTTTTAAATGAGCTTGGACTGAAGAGGAATGTATAAACCTATCTGGAAATCTTTGCAGTCTTCTACTTTCATTGAATATATTTTCCTCCTGTTCATTGTTTTTATCTTCAAGTTCACATGTGGTTAAAAGTCTACAGAATTCTGTTATCTGCACTTTAATGTGAAAACCTTTGGTATATAATTTCTATTCAACTCTCAAAGCTTCATATATGTGGTAGATGGCTATCAATCAGTATATAACTATTTAAGCCACAATAAATATAGTAACTCAAATAATGCAAACAGATAAAGTATGAATTTTTATTTTATTAATTTAGGAACTAAAAAGATCTATGTTCCAACTGGATCTTCAATGTAATTATTTTCCCTACTGTATTGCATTTGTACAGTGTGTTATTAGAGGAAATAAAAATTATACAAACATTTTTTGATAACACTGCATACAATACTTCACTTATCTGGGAGTAACTTATCTGATATTAATTACCCAGAATATATATTTAAGAACTAAAAAATAACAGAAGTTCCTGAAGTTTTCATAGTATATATATACATAAACTCATGTATTTTTATTTCCAAGAGCATCTCTCAGATCTTCAAAGTAAGTTTTAATTTTTGATACTGATTATAAACATAATCTTAATAAGCTGAATAATTAGTATTTTATTTTAGGTCAGGAGAGCAAATTGTAAAAGGAAATGGTCTTCTAAAAGAAAGTACATACAGCAATAAGAAATGACAGACAACAAAACCAGGGCAAAAAGCTTCTTCACTGTGGCATCTTATTACATTGATGGATAGTGGTTGTAATGGGGTACAGGGGGGACTTGATAATATGGATGAATGTAGTAACCACATTGTTTTTCATGTGAAACCTTCATAAGAGTGTATATCAATAATACCTTAATAAAAAAATTGTATAAAAAAAAGCTACTTCAGTTTTAGATAGCTGAAGAACTCATACATGGGATAAAACTTGACTGCTTGGAAAAAATGACTTGTGACTATTACTACTTTACTGGTGGAAAACCAAAGCCACAGAGGTTATCTTGTACAATTATAGGTAGCCATTTCATGAGTAAGAGATATACACGGTAGGGATTTTTACATTATCTAAGTGAAAGTAAGGGGATACCCGATGACCTCGAGACCTACTGTGGTTAGATGAGTAAAGAAAGGATAAGGTTAAGGATCACTTAAGGCCTGGGTTTTTTTATATAGTCAATGCTTAATGTGGACACACTGCTATAGAAATTATGATAGATACTGAATTCAAAGTATGACTGCTTCATTGCATTTATTTATGATATTTCTTAAATTCTGTGACGCTTAATCCACCTTAAAACTAAACACAGAAATAGTTTATGGATTTTAACCTTTATTACTCAAAATACTGAGTAATTATTACTTAAAATACTGAGTAATTATAACTCAAATTAATGAGTACACAGAGCTGCTTTAAGTGGTTATTTACATGAAAGTAAAGACTGTCAAAACTAAAGAACAGGTATTGTCAAAAGAGTACAATCTCACTATACTGTACAGATTGTATTGCTGCTAAAAGGAGCTGACACCTTGTCAAGCTAGACCCATCATCTACTGGTTTTCTCACACCACTATCTACACTGTACACCAAGTCCATCTCCTCCCAATAGAAGCAGATGGAAATCATTAAACTAGTAATTATAGCTGTTCTTTTTTAATGAAATTACAACCTAAATGCTTACCTGAAGAACTAAGTATTTTTATATGTTACATAAGAAAAACAGCAAATAAAATTATTTCAATAACAGGTAGAGATTTATCAACTTACTTTGCATCCTAGTCCTTGGCCTTATTCTTGGGGTTTGTTCAACCCATTCCTGAGGGTTTTTTTGATACCCTGAGCCTGCAGCAAGTACAAAAAAAAGACATCACTTTACATCCTTTGAAAATGTCTATCACACTCATGTTTTAAGCTAAATTTATCAGAAAGGCAAAATAAGTTGGGGAGGAAAATAACAAAAGCAACAGGTTAAGAAGTAAAAGACAATGTCAAAGTATCATATCAGTGAGGATGAACCACTTCCTACAGTAAAACAGACAGCAAGTAAATATATAATCACTTAATAGATAAAACTCTGCACAAGTCCTTTGGGCTGGTCTATGAGAATAACTGAACCTGATTTCAATGTTTAAGAAGGAACAGTTAACAATTTACTATTACAAGTTAATTTCAGTAAAATAGTCCTAAACACATTTCCATAGCACAGAGTATTTATAACATACAGTATCAACATGTGGCAGAATAAAAGGCAAAGAGAGTAAAATGACTCAAAATCCCATTCAAACTTTTTGTTGGCAGAATAAGATAAGGTTAGAATTAGTTGATTGATAAAAGAACAGACAACCAACCACTTACTTAGCACTGGAGTTTGCTTATGAAGAGCTGTGAAGTCTCGACCTGCAACAGAAAACAGAGATAAGGTCATAGAATACTTGGAAAAAAAAACAATGAAGATGCTGCATAAACATTTTACTTTTTAAAATATGGATACTACAAACAAAACAAAACCATCAAATCTTTCTTTCATGAGTCCCAAACATACAACATTCATATTTCTTCCCTTTTCTAAACATCAAAATGTTCAGGAATTGGACAAAAAGTCAGCTTTAGGATCACTACCATCAAGATAATGAATAAAAATACTGAATGTTTGCCAGGTATCAAGTATAATTTTACTTAATTCTCATAATTGATGTGGTGAATACTATTATTTCTATTTTGCAAATAAGGAACCTGAAACTAACATTTGCCCAAAAGAACACATCTAAAAGCAGGGCTGGGATGCAAACCCAAGTAGTCCGTACATAATGTAAAACGGTACCTACTACACAAGCAAATTTGTGACCGTTGCAAAGTAATTACAAAGTGAAAGACTACTTTATGTTTTGGATAGCATTTAAGGTGTAAAGTGATACAATGGAATAATTAGAACATAATACTAAAAACAGTTATAACAAGTTTATTTCCAAATCTGCCTTGAAGAAATGTGTTACTTCTACCCATTGGTACAAATATCAATGCAAATCTATTTTCAACTTTTGTTTCCAAACACAAATGCAATATATGCTAGCTGTAAAAGAAATACACCATTTTAGAAATGCATAACTTAAAAATTTAGAAATATCTATCAACTGCCTACTATGGGCAAAACATTATGTGCAAAGTAAAAAAGACAGGTAAATGTGTATTCTTCCAGATTTGCTTTCAGACAATGGTAACAAAATACTTTTTAAAACGTTGGACACATGCTTTCTTTTTTCTTTTTTTATTAAGGTATCATTGATATACACGCTTATAAAGGTTTCACATGAAAAACATTGTGGTTCCTACATTCACCCATATTATCAAGTCCCCTGCACTGCAGTTACTGTCCATCAGTGTAGTAAGATGCCACAGAGTCACTACTTGTCTTCTCTGTGCCACACTGTCTTCCCTGTAGACACATGCTTTCTTATATACTATTTATTGTCTTTCATCAACTCTACGAAGCACTTTTTAAAAAACACCTCTGACTTAAGGCTGTATCTTATAATCAATTGTATGTGATAGTTTAATTTGCTGTTTTTCTTTCTCAGCGATACATAAAATCAATGGCATCTTAGTCAAGGGAGTATATCTTGATCATGTACTGTTAAGTATAGAACAAACTCATTTTGTGTAACAGAAAAGTATTTCATTGTCTGAGTGTAACAGTTTATTTGCAAGATAGATACATTTAAAAGCTTCGAAGATCAAACATATAAGATGTTTCAGAGAGTAATTTCCACAAATTATTTTTTTGTGTGTTTCAGGTTTTGTTTTGTCTGTTTGAAGTCCAAACCCTGGAACCTGTGTGTGTATGTAAAGTGGAATTCTATGGACACAGTGATTATAAACAGATTTCCAAAAACTTTTCTTTATTTTTAGAGATGATTTTATTCTTAAAATAGTTCATATTTTAAAGAAGATGATGTGAAAAGAAAAAAAGTCCCTGAAGATTTTACATACGAGGACATTCTCAGTTGATCAATAATTATCCCAAATTTTGGTACTTGATTGAAAAAGAGAAAAATAAAAATCAATATAATTTCTGTTTAACCTAAGAAATACATATACATTGTAGATTATCTACAAAATACAGAAAAAAAGTAAAAGAAAAATGTCACCAATCATTGTTAGCATTTTAATATATTACTTTCCAATCCTTTTTGTGTTTCTCAACATTTTACTATGAAAATTTTCAAAGTAAGCAAGGCTGTAAGACTTTTTATATACCCACCACCTAGCTTACCATTACTTTTTACTATACCTGTTTTATCACTTATTTATTCATCCTTCCAAACTTTTGCAACAGAGCTGAAATACTGCACATAAAGTTTTATATCCTTATTAGAATATGTTCACATATGTAGGCTCAAACTACATTAGTTAATTAAACTAAAATCAATCAACAAATTTATATTGTAAGCAAAGATTTTTAATCAATCACAAAAAGCAATAAGTTTTTTTTTTTAATTCAAATTAAAGGTTGGGTACAGAGATTAATTCAAGAAACAAATTCAAGATGCAGGATGAGGTTGTTTTCTTAGGAAACATTTTTCAACACACCTCTTTTTCAACATTTTACATTAAAACTGCAAAAAAGGATCTTCAAAAATAAGAATAGCATTTGACAATGTATACAGTAGACTTTTAAGAGTGTAAAACAGGGTTTTACTTACTTTGTGGTGACCGCCAAAGTGATTCTGGGTATTGACTTGATGGTCTAGTATTTTTCTCTAAAAAATAAAAAAGAAAGCATGCTATGAAGTACATTTAACTTTTTAAGTGCACATTTTAGAAGAGAACAATGAGTAATCAAAAGAGCAAAAATGTTCAGATAGACCCCAAGGAATTCAACACTTGGGTGCACAATTAGTTTTTTTAAAAAAGGAGTTTCTAAGGAATCATGTTTTATCTAAAAAATTAATTACCTCTCTTCCCTAACCTTTGAACATTTTAAATAAGAAAAATCTAAGATACAGAACATGGCATGAGGTGAGGGAGATAATGAAACCCTCGTGTTGGGAAAAATTTTGAAGTAAAAAATACTGGAGCTTCTTGAAATCATTAATATCCAATTTTTGCCTTAAAATTTTCTTGCAAGTGGTCAATACATTATGTATTTTAGTCTATTCTTCTTAAAAACTTTTTCATGTAAGAGTAGAATTTATAAATAAATCTGTTTAAAAGTGATCAGATTTTGGAAGCAGAAGCATTTGACACCTCAAGATGTAGCTAAGTATTTTTGTTAGGGTACTCCTATTACTAAAAAATTTTGAACATCAATCTCTAAAACTTATTTCTTTCTAACATTATATACATGTATTACTGAAATAATGTATTAACTAATGTGTTAATGTGCTAAAACAAACAAAAATGAACACTTTATATGCATAATAAAAAATAAATATGCATGAAATTCTATTTCCTTCTCGCATTCCTATGGATCTTCTTGTGATAAATTGGCCGAGAAGATAATCTAGGAAGATCAGCATTCTTTTTAATATTGTCTCACCTCTTTGTTCTTTAGCTAGAGTTTTCTTCTGCATGAGGGTATATGTGCTTCAGTAATAATTTATTAAAGTTCTAACGGGATCACGAAGCCTGTGGTTTATATAGTTTCAAAAAGCCATATGCTGGTGGCAATGGCATCTAACAATTGGCTATACGAATAGATTAATTAGTCTCTAATTTTTTAATCTTTATCTATACATACATATATGTATATATATATGGAAACTAATAACAGCACTTAAGTGTTTACTATGTGCCAAGTACCTTCTAGGTGCTTCGCACATATGTATTAATTTAACCTCACAACAACATGATGACAGAACTGAGGAACAAAGGAGTTAAACTATTGCCTGAGGGCATAAACCTAGCAGGGGAGGAGTGAAACTCAGGGATTCTGGCCCCAGAGCCCATGTTCTTAGTCACTATTAAAGAATGTTATGCAATCTTCTTTTGGATTTCTATATCAAGAAAAAATGAGAACTGAGACAGGATGGGAAGTATATGGATCACAAATACCCATAAACCAGATTATGAGCTTATTATTATTTTTTAAAATTTTATTAGGTATCTTTGATATAGTCTTATGGTTTCACATGAGCAACACTGTAGTTACTACATTCACCCATATTATCAAGTCACCCCCGCCCATTGCAGTCACTGTCTATCAGTGCAGTAAGATGCTACAGTCACTACTTCTCTGTGCTATACTGCCTTCCACATGACCCCCTTACACGAGGGGTGTTAATTATAATGCCCCTTAATACCCTTCTCCCTTCCTCCTCACCCACCCTCCCCATGCCTTCCCTTTGGTAACCAACAGTCCCTTCTTGGAGTCTGTTGAGTCTGCAGCTGTTTTGTTCTTTCAGGTTTGCTTTGTTATTATACTCCACAAACAAGAGAAATCATTTGGTACTTGTCTTTCTCTGCCTGGCTTATTTTACTGAGCATAATAGCCTTAGCTCCATCCATGTTGTTGTAAATGGTAGGATTGGTTTTCTTCTTATGGCTGAATAATATTCCATTGTGTACATGTACCACATCTTCTTTTTCCAATCATCTACTGATGGACACTTAGGTTGCTTCCATTTCTTGGCTATTGTAAATAGTGCTGCATTAAACATAGGGGTGCATGTCTTTTTGAATCTAGGATCTTGTTTTCTTTGGGTGAATTCCTAGGAGTGGAATTCCTGGGTCAAATGGTATTTCTATTTTGAGTTTTTTGAGGAACCTCCATATTGCTTTCCACAATGGTTAACTAATTTACATTCCCACCAACAGCGTAGGAGGGTTCCCCTTTCACAGCATCCTCGCCAGCATTGGTTGTTTCTTATCTTTTGGATACTGGCCATCCTAACTGGTGTGAGGTGATATCTCATTGTGATTTTAATTTGCATTTCCCTGATGATTAATGATGTGAAGTGTTTTTCATGCACCTGTTGGCCATCTGAGTTTCTTCTTTGGAGAAGTATCTGTTCACAGCCTCCACCCATTTTTTAATCGGGTTATTTGCTTTTTGGGTGTTGAGGTGTGTGAGTTCTTTATATATTTTGGATGTTAACACCTTATCAGATATGTCATTTATGAATATATTCTCCCATACTGTAGAAGACGCCTTTTTGTTCTGCTGATGGTGTCCTTTGCTGTACAGAAGCTTTTTAGTCTGTAGTCCCACTTGTTCATTTTTGCTTTTGTTTCCCTTGCCCAAGGAGTTATGAGCTTATTTTTAAAGTGTAATGATGAAATACAATACAGGAATTACAGAAATTCTTACAAGGTGGTGAGAGGACAGTGCATAGTTACTCTTCCATGGGACTAAAATATAAAGTTACTTATTATTTATGGAGCTTACAAATTTGTTCAGCACTCTCTTGAGACTCAAATTCATATTTTTTTCTCTTCAGCCAATTCTTTGCCTGAATAAAACTTATATACAAATTCATAATAACACTTAGAAGCTCTTATTACTAACTTGGTGTGAATTCGAATAATCCAGAGTTAAAATTAGTTATCTAAGTATTTTAAAACTTCCTAAAAGCTAACTAACACTCCTAACAGTATAGTGAGTACCAATGCCATGTGATCAGTTTCTCTAGAAGTTTAAAAAAACCTATAAATAACTCTTCTTTGGGGTGGAAAAATATCTTACATTCTATAAATATCAAATTAGGCTAACAAGTGACTTACTTGTTTAGATATTATATGACATTACATTACTAATCAGATGCATACATGGAATCAGTAATTTTAATAAATACTAAGAAGTACATGCTTTTAAAAAAGCTTTAATACTTCAAATCATTTTTAAAAAAAGCAAATTCACAGAAGACTTTAATATTTTAACTAAAAAGACAGCTCCTAGGAGATGAGTTTCATGTATACAAAGCAACGTTACCTCTAGAATCAAGAGAATCCCTGGATCTGACCTCAATAGTAGTTCCAACACTGACAGAGCTATCTTGATCATCTTCAGTTTCTCCTGAAAGAAGTAAAGAATATACTCATATAGTCTTTATTATAATGCTCTAAAGATTTGGATTAAAAAACAAAAATAATTTAACATTAAAATGAAGCCTTTTTAATTATCAGATACAGAATTGCTATTTATTATGTTACTGTTCTTTATACCAAGTTCTAAATAAGCCAAAATTGAGCCCATTTATTTTATGTTCTCTGAGGCATATAATCATATTCCAAACATTCAGAGTGATATAGAAAATTATATTCTGAGGCTTTAATGTGGAGTCAGAAAGTGAACAAATGAGCATTACATAGCAGAAAAATTTTACCTTATGGGGGTGTGAACTACATATAGTTAGTGATAGTGTGTGAACTGAGACAAGATCAATATAAGCATGTGTGTATGTGTGTGTGTGTGTGTGTATGTGTTTTCAAAGGGGGGATATGTATATACACACCAATATACAAACATTTCCATATGTAGGTGACTAAATTCAGATTATGGTGGGCTTAAAAATGGACTAAATTTTCCTATTCACACATAGATTAGTTCTGAGAATTTAGAAAAGTGATTATTTTAATACAATAGTCAAAAGCCAGCATATGCCAGAAACTAAAAATCCCAGTTTTGCTTAAAATCATTAACTCAGACCAAAGATGTTTAAAATGCATGTAAAGACTACCATCTCATTCTATCCTATATTACCTGACCACTTAACATAAACCTAAATTTTTTTCTGAAAAGTGACTATTTTTCTGCTCTCTTAGGTACCTATCAAAATTATTTCTCACATTAACAAAGATTTAGAATATACTGTAAAATATCTTAAAAGAAAATACCTTCTTCAGAGAAATTGACCTTCTGCTGAACACTAGTGACTTCTAGAAAAGAAAAGCAGACATGTTACATACAACATCAAAAGCTAAAATTTAGGAATAAATAGAGTATTTAATTTAGGAAAGTGAACATAAAGTTACAGAACTAAACTTTTTTTCAGGTTAATCACAGAAGAATATTATTTTCTTCCAGGTTATTTCAGAAATAAGTCTAAACAAGAATCAGAAAGTTTTTTTCCTTTAGCCACATCTATTTGTACTCTAAAATGTAACATGTTTGCAAAAATCATTCAATTCTGCGTTGACAAATATTTCAGTGCCTGTATGTTTACTGTATTCTCATTCTTCTGTTTACCAGATTTTCTACACTCCCTTGAAAAACCTACAGTACCGGTTCTTTAAAATGCACTGGTACACCCCAAAGTAAGAAAGATCAAGAAACTCTCTTAGTTTCAGCAGGTTCACATACACCACTATTTTTTAGAGCCAGAGAATTTGGACAAAGATACATGAGCAAAATGTATCAAACAACCTTGAGATGTGGTATTTTTTACACTGGCTATTCTGAATACTCTTGAAATAAAGGAAGTTAAACCCAAATGCAGGCATTGCACAGCACGGCTAAAATATTGCTGAATGATCACATGAAAAGTAGCATTAATCAGATTCTGTCCACAAAGCTGAAAACTGTTTCTTTTCAGCATTTACCTCTATTGATTTTAACCCCTATTTGCTTTTCAAAAGGGAAAACAGTATTGTGGGAGGCACATGAATTTGGGAATATTGTTTTCAAATCAGTTTAATAATATTGGGATAATACTAGCCAAACTACTACTACTTCTCAGTAGTGTCAAGTGCAAATCACTATGCAAAATTTTTGATAAAGAAAAAAGCTAACCCTAAGAAAATTGTGGATATTATCTTACTCTAAAAAGCTAGAATCTGGTATGTATTAGGTGCTATTTTAATCTAAGATCCTTAGGGAAACTGTCCTTTCATTTTCTTTTTTCAAGCAGAAAAATGGAAAGTCAAACTTATTTTAGTTCTCCTCTCTTAAAATTTTTAAATTAATATTTCCATTCACACAAAAAGGCATTGCTCACTTTTTTGAGGTTTTATTTTCTAAGTACATAACTATTATTGTAACTGTGCAGTTTACATATTCATTTATTCAACTATTCACATAGCATGCAAAAAGATGTTTTCAAAAGAGTCAATGGCCATGTCTTAGTTATTATCTTAATAGTAATTAAGTCGTTAATATTTGCATGGTGCTAGCTAGTTTTCAAAAAAGCCATCACGTCTGTTACCTGATTCCCATACTGTCATATGGGAATACTCTCATAGGTAAGGCTATAGATATTAAGTGACTTGTCAAAGGGTGTTGGGACTAACAAGTGATACAAAGACTTGTGACAAAAGCTCTTCTGATTTCCTTCCAGTCTACTACCCTTCTACCAATACATCAATCTTTTCGTAACATTATAATGTAAACACTCAGTAATTATTTTTTATTAAGCCTCTTTTTAGAGACCAGTTTAAGGTTCACAGAAAAACTGAGGGGAAGGTAGGTAGATTTCCTATATATACTCCCTGCACATACTCATGCATAGCCTCCCCTATGGTCAACATCCCCCACCAGAATGGTACATTTGTTACAACTGATGATCCTACACCAACACATCATAATCACTCAAAGACCATAACAGTTCAGTCTTGGTGTTGTACATTCTCAGGTTGACAAATATATAATGACAAGTAACCATCATTATGATATCATACAGAGTATTTTCATGCCCTAAAAATCCTGTGCTCTGCCTATTCAGCTTTCTCCCATTCCCCCAAAACCCTTGGCAACCACTTAGGTTTTTATGGTCTCAATAGTTTTGCTTTTTCCAGAATGTCATATAGTTGGAATCATTCAGTGTGTATCTTTTTTAGATTGGCTTCTTTAACTGAGTAACATGCATTTATACTCTTCATGGCTTGATAACATTTCTTTTTAGTGCTTAATAATACTCCCTTGTCTGGATGTATGACTGTTTATCCATTCATCTACTGAAAGACATCTTGGTTGCTTCCTAGTTTTGGCAATTATAAATAAAGCTGCCATAAACATGGCTGGCAGGCTTTTGTATGGATGTTAAGTAATGTTGTATGGGTAAGTGTTAAAGAGTGCAAATGCTGGACCATATAATACGAATATGTTTAGTTTTGAAAAAACTTCTTCAAAGTGGTTGTACCAGTTTGCATTCTGACTAGCAATGAATGACAGTTGTTTTGCTCCACATCCTCATTAGCATTTGTTATTGTCAAGTGTATTGGATCTTGGCCACTCTAACAGGTATGCAGGGATATCTCACTGTTTTATATTGCATTTCCTTTTCTGAATGACATGATGTAGAGCATCTTTTCATATGCTTATTTGCTGTTTGTACATCTTTTTTGTTCAGGTAACAGTTAGGGGTTTTGACTCATTTCATAAATTAAATTGTTTTCTCATTAAGGAGTTTTAAGAGTTCTTTGTATATTTTGGATAACAGTCCTCCATCAGAATATGTCACTTGTAAATATCTGCCCCCAGTCTGTGGCTTGTCTTCTCATTTTCTTGACACTGTATTTTGAAGAACAGAAAGTTTTTTATTTTAATGAAGTTCAGCTTATCAATTATTTCTTTTATGAGTCTTGGCTTTGGTCTATTACCTAAACAGGCATCATCATACCCAATGTAATTAGGTTTTCCCCTATGTTGTCTTAAGGAGTTTCCTAGATTGGTGTTTACATTTAGGTCTCTAATCCATTTTGAGTTAATGTTTGTGAAAGATGTTAAATTCTGTGTTTCGATTCTTTTTTCTTTTGCAGGTGGGTGTCCAGTTGATGTACCACCATTTGTTGAAGATCTCTTTGCACCACTGTATTGCCTTTGCTCCTTTGTCAAAGATCAGCTGACTACATGTGGGTGTATTTATGGGTTCTCTATTCTGCTCCACTAACCTATTTGCCAGTATCAGTCTCAATTACCATAGCTTTAGAGTTAAGTCTTTTAAAAAAAAAATCTGGATGTTTTAGTTCCATTAGAAAAAATATTACCTATATAAAATTTTGGTCCATTTTTTTCTTTACCTCTCTCTACTACTGAAACTTAAATACTTTTAAACTTTACTCATGTAAAAGCAGAATCACATTATCTGACATGAGAACTAAATATTTCACATCATTAATAGGATTTAATGAATTAGGTGCGCTCTTTTATTATTTCTCAGGAACAGTGACTCATCTTTCCTACATGTTATTCCTCTTTACTTTTATTTGAGTAACTGTAATGTATGCCTCTTTTCCCAGATCCAATAATATGAGTGCACATAAGTGTTAATTTATAACATCAGTAACTGGATTCATCATTTAATCTTCAATTCATGGTCAATTCCCCTTAATATATAGTATTTCCATAATAGCCTTGGGTATTTTAGTTAACCTTATTCTTTCCAACATCAATTGTAAAGATTAAGATACTAACTTAAAAACATTAAGATTCCAGAAATGTGTCATAATTATGTATTATATAAATAACACTTACAGTGTTGCAAGAGGTCCTTGGACGGCCACTGCTTCAATTTCTACAAGGCCTCCTTTGGGCAAAGCAGCAACCTGGTAAGCAGCTCTTGCAGGAAAATTACTTTTGAAATACTGTTTGTAGATTTCATTGACAGTATGAAGTCATTTAACGCCAGCCAGAAAAATAGTTGTTTTTACCACACTGACAGCTTTTAGAATTTCACCCATGTTTGTAAGACCTTTTTGGGCTTCTTCTTCCATCCCTCCTGTAACAAGCTGTCCACTCAAAGGGTCCATGCCTAGTTATCCTAAAATGTAAATGGCCCTGTCGACTAACACAGTTTGACTGTAGGGACTAATGGCAGCTGGGGCTTTCACAGTGTTCATCACCTTTCTGATTAGACACAACATGGCTAACTTTTCTCTTGCTGCCCCCCAACCCCCAACAGAATAGTCATGTACACTGCCCCTGCTGGTGTCCCACTCTATAGAGTTAAGTCTTGAGATTGAGTTTATCTTTCCTACTTGGTTTGTCAATACTGTGTTGGCTATTCTGGGTCTTTTGATTCTCCATATACACTTTAAAATCAGTTTGTAGATATCCATAAATTAACTTGCTGGGATTTTCATTGGGATTGCATTGAATTACACTGAATCTCCTTACCAATGAACATGGAATATCTCTCCACTTACTAATTCTTTTAGTTCATTCACTTAAATCTTGTACATTTTCTCTAAGATTTATACGTAAGTTATTTCATTTTGGGAGATGCTAACATAAACCATATTGTTTTTAATTTCAAATTTCTCTTATTCATTGATGGTATATAGTAAAGTGATTGACTTTTATATTAACCTGTATCCTGCAATCTTGCTATAATTACTTACTTCCAGTTGTTTTCTCCATTCTTTTGTATTTTCTACATAGATAAGCATATCATCTACAGAGATAGATTTCTTCCCTCCCAGTCTACATACGTTTTATTTTTTGTTTTATTGCATTAGCTAGAATTTCCAGCACAATGTTGAAATAGAGTGGTAAGCAGGCACATCCTTGCCTTGTACGTGATGTTAATATAAAAGCTGTTTCTCATCATTATATTAGCTATTTCTTTGTAGTCTTCATCAAGTTGAGAAAGTTCCCCTCTAAGTTTACTGAGAGTTTTTACCATAAATGGGTGTTGGATTCATCAAATGTTTTTTTGCATCTATCCTTTTTTAGTATGTTGATGTGATGGATTACAATAGATTATCAATGCTGAACCAACTTTGCATACCTGGGACAAATTCTACTTGGTTGTAACATATAATTCTTTTTGTATTTGATTTGCTAATATTTTTAAGATTTTTGTACCTATGTTCAAAAGAGATATTAGTCTGTAGTTTTCTTTTTTTGTAATGTTTGTCTGGTTTTGGCTTTAGGGGAATGCTGGCCTCAAAGAATGAGTTAGGAAGTATTCTCTTTCATCTATTCTCTTTCTGAAAGAGAC